ACATATAAACGAACTAAAACAATAAAGACACCCTCAAGTTTAGGTTGACTCCTGATGGCTGCATCCAGTCTTCTCTAACCTATCTCAACAGCTGCATCTGTCAAGCAAATCAAAGTGGCTTAGCACTCCCATAAAACATCAAAACCATCCTCCCAATTATTAAACAACGATAGTAATGCAGATGAAATCCCAATCCATAGCACTCATCCTCCATTCTATGATATATACCAGGGGTCTGCAACCTGCGACTCTGGAGCCACATGCAGCTCTTTCGGCCCTCTGCTGTGGCTCCCTGTCAGCTGATCCCACCACTGGCTGGCTTTGCCCCTCCCCATCACTCCTTGCCTGGCCTGAGAAGGTAAGGGTGGTGGCGGGGGATGGAGACTCGCCCCATATTCCAGAGCAGGAGGTGACTGGGTGGGAATGAGTGATGTCGCGTTGGCCATGCCCACCCAGTCACACCATTTTTAAAAAATTATTGCCTCCCAGTGTTTTCTTTTCTGTAGGAAATGGCTCCAAATGGCTCTTTGAGTGTTGAAGGTTGCAGGCCCCTGATATATACACATGGGTGGGATTCAGTAGGTTCTGACCAGTTCTGGAGAACTGGTAGTGGAAATTTTGAGTAGTTCGGAAAACCGGTAAATCCCACCTCTGACTAGCCCTGCCCCCATCTATTCTCTGCCTCCCAAGTCCCATCTGATTGGCTGGGTCTTCTTTGGTTGCCCTGCACAGGAGAACGGAGCTGGAAAGCAGGTTAGTGGGGTAGGAAGGGAATGGAGGTTTTGTAGTCACCTTCCCCTGCCATCCCCACAAAGCCATGCCACAAAGCCATGCCATGCCCACAAAGCCATGCCCACAAAGCCATGCCCACAGAACGTAGTAAAAAAACCTGAATCCCACCATCGGTTGTGATGGACAAAGGACTATCATCAATCAAGGATCCTCAATGCATCCAGAGTCCTTATTGAAGTGGGCAAATATTTCCGTGCCATAGTTTGGGTGAGAGCAGAGTAACGTAACCCAGGGTTTCTCAAACCTTTACCTTAATATGAGGTAAAAGAACCTGTCCAGTTAGTGGTTAAAGGCACCTGGCTACAAACCAGGAGATCATGAATTCTAGCCCCATCTTAGGCATGATGCCAGCTAGGTGACATTGAGCCAATCACTCTTCTTCAGTTCTAGGAAGGAGGCAATGACAAAGTTCAACATTTTTTTATTGAATTATCAAGTATTATAAAGTTTTAGTTTTAGATTACTTTATTGTCACTGCACCTCGTACAACGAAATTAAATGACATCTTCGGTGTACATTATAACTATAAAAATAAAACACAAACACACACATCCTTCGCATTCTATACAATTGAATTGAAAACCCCTGATATTGCATTAATATTATGCTACGCAGTAGAATTCAATAGAGTTACTGCCCTGGGATAGAAGCTGTTTTTCAGCCTATTTGTCCTTGTTTTTATTGTCTGCCAGATGGTTATAGTTCAAAACAAGGGTGCCCAGGAGGTGATGGATCTTTAAGAATGTTTTGAATACAATATTTTGAACAACAATACATGTTGAACTACAATACAACACAATACAATACAATGTACAATGCAATAAAATACAAAATACAAAGTAAATAGAAAAGCAGGGAGGAAGGAAAGGAGAAGTAAATGAGAAAAGATAAGAAAAAAGAAAGAAAAAGAAGCACTGACTTTCGACTCTCTCTGTTAAAATAAGGCATTGACATTAAATCACAACTGTTTGCTTTTTCATAATATGAACAAGCCATTTCTATAAAGATCTATCAATCTAATCGGTACTAAAACCCAAAGTCAGAGTTTCATTCTTTTCCACATCAAGCACGAAATTCAGAAGCGGTTTCCGTGTGGAAACAAAAGTATGTATGTTCTTTTCTTTAAACAAAGTGGTAAGTTTTGCCACTTCAGCCAACTCCATCAACTTCTGCAACCATTCGTCCATGGTAGGAATCGAAATGTCCTTCCATTTATTTATTTATTTGATTTATTTGATTTGATCTGATTTGTCAATCGCTTACAAAATAATAGGTATAAGTATAGACATAGTTATGAATACATGAAATGGATACATATAAGAAAAATAAAAAGAAACAATAGGACAGGGACAGTAGGCACGTTGGTGTGCTTATGCACGCCCCCTACAGACCTCTTAGGAAAGGGGTGAGGTCAATAGTAGACAGTCTAAGGTTAAAGTTTTTGGGGTTTGGGGAAGAAACCACAGTCAGGTAGAGTGTTTCAGACATTGACCACTCTGTTGCTGAAGTCATATTTCCTGAAATCAAGTTTGGTGCGGTTCACCTTGAGTTTGTATCTATTGTGTGCTCTTGTATTGTTACGGTTGAAGCTGAAGTATTCATTGACAGGTAGGACATTGCAATGTATGATTTTATATACTATACTTAGATCAGACCGAAGGCGGCATACAGTAGTCTTTTTTGTGCTTACACAATTTTGAAGTTGTGGACTTCAATTCCTTGAGTTCCCCAGCCAATAAGAAAACTGAGAAAAACTCATGGAGATTGATCAAATGGGGTTGGAAGCATTTAAAACTGGGATGGCCTTTCCTCCTTTGTACTGCTATGTGAAGTCTAATGAGGTCAAGAATCATCATCATCATTTTATTAAACTTGTATGCTGTCCAATTCTATGTAACATAACAGTCATACCAAAACTTCAACCTGAAAAGTATGACTGTTACATGCTGTCAAATCAGATTCTTTTCTTGATATCCGTATGGACAAATGCTTTACCATTTTTGTCAGTTGCACTTAACAGAAGCCTTTTAACAGATTAACAGAGTTGGAAGGGACCTTGTAGTCTTCTAATCCAACCCCCCATCCAAACAGGAGACCCAACACCATTTCTTCTGACAATCAGAATATTCCTAGTAAGATACATCATGCATGCAAGAGATATCACAAAAGAAAACTTGGCTTCTTGAATTATGTAAAGATTTTTTTTCATGATTGGCTCTCCCACAAGATTTGCCAAAATGACTACTTTGGGTAGGAAATATTATCTAAGATTGCAATGAATGTTGGAGGTCATCTGATATAAGAAGGGTTGTGTTTGCATGACATGCTAACCCATGTTCTTTACTCAAGTTTTCTAAGTTTTCACAGTACGCCAAATGATACTAGGTACATTTATTTTTTATTTATTTATTTGATTTGTCAATTGTTTACAAGATAATAAGTATAAGTGTATACATAGTTGTGAATACATGAGATGGGTACATATAAGAAAAATAAAAGAATAGAGAAACAATAGGACAGGGACGGTAGGCACGTTGGTGCGCTTATGCACGCCCCCTACAGACCTCTTAGGAAAGGGGTGAGGTCAATGGTAGACAGTCTAAGGTTAAAGTTTTTGGGGTTTGGGGAAGAGACTACAGAGTCGGGTAGAGTATTCCAGACATTGACTACTCTATTGCTGAAGTCGTATTTCCTGCAATCAAGTTTGGTGCGGTTTACTTTGAGTTTGTATCTATTGTGTGCTCTTGTGTTGTTATGGTTGAAGCTGAAGTATTCATTGACAGGTAGGACATTGCAATGTATGATTTTATATACCATGCTTAAGTCAGACCGAAGACGGCGTAATTCAAGGTTTTCTAGTTCTAGAATTTCAAGTCTGGTGGCATAAGGTATTCTACAACGAGTAGAAGAGTGGAGAACTCTTCTTGTGAAATATTTCTGGACTTTCTCAATTGTGCTAATATCAGATACGTAATGAGGGTTCCAGACTGATGAACTGTATTCGAGTATTGGTCTAGCAAATGTTTTGTATGCTCTGGTTAGTAGTGTGATATTGCCAGAGAAAAAGCTACGTAGGATTAGGTTAACAACTCTTAATGCCTTTTTGGCTATGTAGTTGCAGTGGGCTCTAGCACTCAGATCATTAGAGGTGAGTATTCCAAGGTCCTTTACAGAGCTTGGGTCATCAACAAGGTCTTGACTATTCAGCTTGTATTTTATTTTCTGATTTTTTTTTGCCAATATGTAAGACAGAGCATTTATTTGTTGAGATTTGAAGTTGCCATTTGTTTGACCATTCGGATACATAGTCAAGATCTTTTTGTAGGGTAGCAGTATTGTCTGTAGTATTGAACAGCTTTACATCATCAGCGAAGAGAATGCAATTGCTCTTAATATGATTATATGAACCAGATTTGCATGATACTAGAATAGAATAGAATAGAATAGAATAATAGAATAGAATAGAATAGAATAGAATAGAATAGAATAGAATAGAATAGAATAGAATAGAACTGGAAATTGGGAATAGGAATAGGAATAGGAATAGAATACTTTATTGGCCAAATGTGATTGGACACACAAGGAATTTGTCTTGGTGTAAATACTCTCATACTAGAATTCAGGGGTGTCAAACTCAAAGCCCATGGGCCAGGGGTGCTTAAACAACCTGGAAATAGTGAAGACCAGCCTGTGATGCCTCTGCCAGCAAGAACACGCCTTCCCCCAGGCTCCGTTTTTGCTGGCGGAGGGAGCAAAACAAACTAAAAATGAAACAAAAGGATAAATGTTTTCCCTTTTGCATTTTGAGCATCCAAGAAGGGACAGGAAAGGAGAAAGGGAAAGAGGGAAGAAAAAGAAGGAAAGATGGGAAGGAAGAAGAAAGGAGAATGAAGAGGAAAGGAAAAAGGGAAGGAAGGAAGATTATAATGAGAGGGAGGGAGGGTCTGAGGGAAGTCCTGCCTTTAGCACTTGGCCACCACAGGTGCCCCTGACATGAGCGACATCAAGCTCGCCACACACACCCCCTTGTCATCCCGCCCCCCAAGGTCAGACACAGCCCTGATGTGAATGAAATCGAGTTTGATATCCATGCTATAATGTGATTTGTTAGTTTTTTGTTCACTATGTTGTGAGAACATAGTTATATGTTTGGCATTGATCTTATTTTTTCACTTCAACCTCTATTATGGCTAATATTTGGTTCTTAGGCATTTCCTGGAGACAACACAACACGGATTCCAATCAAAACAGACCTCTACCTGCAAGTGGTTATCTATGACCATGTCCTCAGAAGAAAAATCTAACTACCAATTCTCATGAGGACTAGATGCATTGGCAGCAATCTTTGACCTGCCGGAGAACCCTTGGACAGCTTTCCAAGATCCAAGTGGAACAAGACTGCAAACTTCAATAGCAAGATCTTTGCAGAATGCTTTCCTCTGGCTATTCATTACAGGTTTGTTGGGATTCTTTGCTGGCTTCAAATCCATGTAGTTGCACAGTAATATTAAAAATGTGTGTAGACACAAAGTGCGATGCCTGCTTCTTGCTGCTTTTTAAATGAAGAGTTTCTTTTGCTTTAGAACACAATAAATGCCATTGTTGTCACTCTAAAAATGTGTAGGAACCAAATGAGTAACCTAAAGAAGAAACTAAAGAAGTAAGGTCACTCACTCGCTCACTCTGTTTGTGTGTATAATATATTTACAAATAAAGTAAATAAATGTTGTTTATTCAGAGATGTCCATTGGTAACATTTGCTGAAAGAAAATATTTTTTTCTTATCTGTATGTTTAACTGATTCATAAATGTTGTTATAACAAATAGAAATTTTGGGTGGCTAATAACACATAAAAGTACCAAGATCAATATCAGCAAAACATTTTTTTTTAAACTATTCTTTCTTGACAACATCGAATTAGTCCTTTGCCTCATTTCATATACTTGAGACAAATTTCCCCATTAACCTAGATACTTTTCTTACAAAGACAGTATGTTGAAACAATGCAGAAAAAACCCTCTTTTATAAATACTTCTGTCAAGTTAATTGGGGGTCTTGATTCAAGCTGAGGTTTCACCAGAATAGCAAACTGAATGGAAAGGAGGTACTTATTTTCAAGGGCAAGGAATCTACTCTCAAAAGGGAGCTACAAATGGGGGTATGGAGGCTAGAAATATTTATAGGGAAGGTAGTCTTTGTCAAGGTATAAAAATGGTGTAAGTACGTGCCTTATGCCCTGTCTAATTCAATGAAAGACTAACTTCAGTGAGGGCAGAGACATTTTAATTAACTTTACTGTATTTGCAGACTTTCTTCTTTGATGGGTGGGTTAAGTCTAGATAACTCATTCGCAAGTTCAAGGAAGTTTGAGCAAAAGATTTCCCTGTTTGCTAGTTTTACTTGATTTAATCAGTTTCGCCTCGGCTGTCAATTATTTAGTGGAGACGCCATTTAGTGATCTTTTGCAAAAAATGTATTTATCTTTGCTTCAACAGTTGTTTGATCAAATGTGGATTATGTTCATGGTTAAGGGAAAGTTGGAGATAGTGCAGAAATGGAGTCAATTTGATAGAAAAGACATATTTTTGACACTTCAAAAGAATCAATTCTAAGATTCCGCTCTATGATTCATTCCAAGAGGCAATTTAACCAAATCATTCCTTCAAAAAGATTCATATAGTCTTAACAAATGTGCATGAAACAGGATAACAGGTAGTGAAACTGAATTAAGTGTCAGTCATTTCCTGGCTTCTGGAAGTCTGCATTGTCTCCTGCTTTTGATTCCAGGTTCCTGCAAAATACTAAGAATTTAGAAAACAAATTCCTAAGAACGTAGGAAACTTGCTGCTTTGTCCTACAATTCAGTGGGGTATATTCACTTGACCATTATATGAATTAAAAAAGAAATAGGTAAGTGATGGGGATAGGAAATGACAATAAATGTGCAACGTGATTGTATCAAACAAGAAGCACTGGTTTACACCAAAGATAAGTAGGTTGAGTATTCTGAACATATGTGGAAGATACCACCCTTGTAGAGAATTAAAACTGAAGGTTTTATCATTAGGTTCATTCAGGACATTTGAATCCCCGAACCTGATGTTCTCCAGATGTTTTTGAACTACACCTCCCGTTTATTTGTACAATGTACATTTTGTTCCCAACACACCTGGAGGGCAAACCCCAACCTACCCAATTTCCAATCCACCATATGACAATCCCTTCCTTTCTCCTTCCTAAGGGTCTCAGGTAGAAGCCAGGGAAGCTAATTCTGCATCTCCGCACAGAGTAATTCCCTCGTTAGTTAGCAAATCTCTAATTAAAAGGACCCACCTATTAAAGCGGGGAACAGGTGACGCCATGGGCCAAGTGCTTACAGGAAGGGCTGGGAAGAAAGCAGCCTGGGAATTAGCGAAGAATTGAGGAAGGCATAGGGAAGAGCAGCAGCTCCAGGGTAAGGACTACACTGTTAAAAAGAGAGAGAGAGAGAGAGAATGAAAGGACACCCAGGGCTGTGATGTGAGCAGGTTCTTCAAAGTGCAGCAATCTTTAAGAGGCCCCAGAATGGAAGAAAATTCATTAAGAGATGGGCTCAGTTCCAGGACGCTAACAAGATGAAGGCAGTGCAAGGACAGTCCAAAACATGACTTCCAGGAGTCCCTCAGTTTAGAGTCACGTTATGAGCCGAGATGTTCGGATGAAGGCAAAGGTGCTCAGGTAGAAACAACATTCGCAACAAAAATCAACAACGCCCGAAAGCCCAAAGCAGCTTTTCCTTCCATAGGGCTCTCCAGATGTTCTCCCACAATTCCCAGCTTTGCACCCATAGCAATCGCCATGGAAGGTTGATTAGAAGGTTGTCCCATAGATTGCGTTGCGGGAAGCAGCTAACTAGGTCTCGCGATACTCTCGTGTTCTTGCTACCACCGCAAAGGATTTGGGGGGAACCTTTTCCTTGTAAAACGAGAAAATGACAACATGAAGGACATAGAGGGGTGGGATGCTACCGGTTCTGCCCGGTTCTAAAGAACTGGTAGCTCTGAAGAGCAGCAGGCACCGAAATGGTTCTGTGTTTGCTGCTGTTTGGCCCACCCGCCCACCTGGGCTCTTACCGGTCCTTTATTTCCTGCTTTTTCAACCTCAGCGGCTTTGCGCGGCACAGCTGAGGTTGAAAAAGCAGGGAAAAAAGAGGCTTTTCAAACGTTGTGCACCTGAGTGCAGCACTTTTCAGATGTCCGGGCAGCACAGCTTAAGGTTTTTTTACACGCGTGTGCAGCGTAAAACATAGTCACCAAACCGGTAGTAACACCGGTTGAATCCCATCCCTGGGTACATATAAGTATAAAAAGGGTCTTGGGTGGATGAGAGAATATCGGGGAGCTTGCTTTTCTTTCTATCAGCTTTGGGAACGAAAAATCCTATTTGAATTTGTATGCGGAAAGAAGACCATTGGGTATAGCACAAATACCTAAATCTTGAGCAGTTGATTGATGACCAGCTACGGGCAAAAGTCTGTAGAGATTCTCAGTCCTCCAGGTCACAATTGTCCCCAAAGTGCTTTTTTTCAAGAGGCAACTGGACTTTCTAGTTTTTTCTTTGAAGATGTTTTGCTTCTCATCCAAGAAGCTTCTTCAGCTCTGACTGGATTAGTGGGGAACGGAAGGATTGATATTCCTTGCAGACATCTGGTCACTTGCGTCCTTTTAGAGGGTCGTTGAGGCCACTTGGAGGTTTATCTGTGTCCTCAGGGTCAGCTACTGGTAGTCCTCGACTTACAACAATTCGTTTTGTGACTGTTCAAAGTTACAACGGTACTGAAAAAGTAACCCATGACCATTTTTCACACTTATGACCATTGCAACACCCCCTTGGACATGTATTTACATTCGGATGCTTGACAACTGAGTCACATTTATGATGGTTGCAGTGTCCCGGGGGGGGGTGTGTGTCACATGATCCCCTTTTGCGACCTTCTGACAAGCAAAGTCAACAGGGAAGTCAGGTTCACTTAACAACCCGGATTACTAACTTAACAGTTGTGGTGATTCCCTTAACAAATGCAGCAAGAAAAGTTGTAAAAATGGGGCAAAACTCGCTTAACAACTTTTTCACTTAGCAGCATAAATTTTGGGCTCCGTTTTGTGGTCGTAAGTTGAGGACTATCCGTACAGAAATGTTTTTCAATCTTGGGATCTTTAAGATGTGTGGATTTCAACTCCCAGAATTCTTCAGCCATGATTCTAGCCTATTCCTACAATCATAGAGATGGAAGGGACTTTGGAGGTCTTCTAGTCCAACCCACTATTGTCTCTGATTGTTTCTTGTCTACAATCTTCCTTACAAAGAATATTTTTGAAAACATACAGTATGTCTTCCTATTCACCTTTTTGTTTTAATGGAAAAGGATATAAGTATATATTCCTGCAAAGGAGTGTTATACCTCCTTTAAAAGTTTATTTTAAAATAGCTTGTTATCCATTTCATCTAATCTAGTTCTCTGCCAGGAAATTGTATGTTTCATCTTGCGCTTCAAACCACTAACAAACATAACTGCACCTCTTTCAGAGGCAAACAGTTAATACTGAATCATAAAAAATTATTTCTAACAAATAAGTTTACTCATTAAAGGTAATTTTAAAAAGTAATAATGGATTGTTGGTTTGCTGGGTTTTATTGTAGAAAATTCCAAGTTGTTTAGAGCGATTGTAAAATCATTTCGGAATAAAGCAAAATGAAAATAGGAAACTTGTCAGAATTTGAGACTGAAATGAAGCAGGTGCTAAGTAAGACAGTGATTAAAATGTTCTAGTTTACTACAGGGGTGGGATTCAAATTTTTTAACAACAGGTTCTGTGGGCGTGGCTTAGGTGGTGGGCGTGGCTTGGTGGTCATGTGACTGAGTGGACATGGCTTGGTGGTCATGTTATTGGCTGGGTGTGGCCAACTCAATATCATTGAGGCACGCATCTGTCACCTGGCCTCTCATGACTGTGGAGATGCTGCCACAGTCGTAAGTGTGAAAAATGGTCATAAGTTACTTTCTTCAGTGCCATTGTAACTTTGAATGGTCACTCCACACAAACAAAGTACCAGCAAAGGAAGGGGAAAAAACTCCAGAGACGTTCCTGAGACAGGAAGTCTAGTCCTGCCAAGAATGTAATAAGGGTTAACGGAGAGGCAGTTTCCGTAAGCAACACCAGAATGTTTCCTTCCTGCCTTCCTTACAGGATTAGGCCAGTAATTTCTTCTAACAACCGGTTCTCCGAACTGCTTAGAATGTTAACAACCGGTTCTAGAGAATAG